CCAACTAAAAAAAAAAACTATAGGCCAATCCCCTCAATGAACACAGATGCAAAAATTCTCAGTAAGATTTTTGCAAACAGAATGCAACATATCATCAACGGATCACACATCATGACCAAGTAAGTTTCATCCCAGGTTTGCAAGGATAGTTAAACATATGCAAATCAATAAATGTAATATACAACATAAACAGAAGACAAAAACCTCATTATTATATCAACAGATGCAGAAAATACTTTTGACATAACCTACCACTCCTTCATGATAAAAAGGTATAGAAGGTATACAAGGTATAGAAAATATAGAAGGAATTTACCTAAATCTGATAAAAGGCATTTACGAAAAAACCAATGGCCAGCATCACATTAAATGAGTAATGACTTGAAGTTTTCCCTCTAAAACCAGGAACAAGACAAAGATTTCCAACCACCAAAGATTTATAACCACTTATGTTCAATATAGTACTTGAAACGTTAGCTTTTCATGGATATGTTTATTCATAGTATATTACTTACTATTTACCTAAAGATAATTCTCTAAAAGCACTGTTGCTTTGTTGCATTATAGTATATGAGAATTCCTGAGCCCATATTATCTTGCTGTTTGGGAGAAAGTTAAATTTGTGCACTAAATGCCTGGATCATTTCATTAAATATTATTTTCTGTTAAATTAAAAGAGCTCAGACTTTGAAAATAAAAAACCTTTAAGAAATTTAGTTCTCAAGTCTTAAAACTTATACATATTTAAGCAGTTTCATTTCCAGAAAATTATCCTAAAAGAAAAAAATTCAAAGATACAAGTTTAAATATGAAAAACTGAAAACAACTAACTAAACCCAAATAAAAAAATTCATGGTACACTCAAATGATGAAACAGAATATTTACCTGATTCAAAGATACCACTAGTTCTAAGACTTCACTAATTCTTGGGTAAGAAGACAATACACTATACACATACATTGTTAGTAACAGTTCCATTTCAGCAACATAAAAATTATTCATCTATGAATCCAGAAAATATACTTCTATGCAGCCATTCCCATATAAGAAAATATTTATTATTACAGACTCATATTTATGATGTAGAAGTAATTACTTACAATTCTATTTGTGACTGACTTACTTTGAATGTTAGGAAAATAACAGCAAATAACAAGCACATTTTATTTACAAATTGTAGACATTATTTTAGATGAGTAGTTTTTAATCAGAAGAGCATATCAAAAACAAGTGTGAAATTTTCTGCACCACAGATATGATTCAGCCCTATCTAAACTTTGTCCCTTTTACTCATCAGTGAATGTGCCCCAAACATATATGTAACACCCTCCCAATAACTCTAACTTTTGTCCCTTTAAACAAGTGACTTAAAAACAACAAATGTTAATTCTTTTTTTTTTTTTTTTTTTTTTTTTTTTTGGTTTTTCTCCGGTACCGGGAACCGAACTCACGACCTTGCGCTTGCCAGGCAGGCGCTTTTGCCGTTGAGCTAAATTCCCAGCCCCAAATGTTAATTCTTAATGCAGTATTTATAAACCACAAAATAAATCTGCTACTTCCTAGTACTTCTAAGAACTCAAGCAGTCATTGAAAATAAGACCCCTCTTCTAATGGAATAATATTAGAGAGGACAGAACAAAGAAGAAAACTCTCCAACTTCTAAAAATAAAAGCTAAACACTCAGGAGCTGAGAGTATAGCTCAGTGGTAAAGCAACTGCTTAGTATGCTTGAGGCCCTGGGTTTGACTGAGGGGGAGGAAAATATCACTTTTAGGAAGACACAGAAGGTTAGTCACAGCCAAGGACTGCTGAAATTTATAAGCTGCTTAATGATACATTTCCAAATTAAATGTTTATCAGAATAAATCATAGATGTGCAGAATCAGAAACTGCCAAGAGGAGCTAGCACCATCGTATCTACCTCCAGTACATCTATGTGACCATACACCCCATGGCCAGAACAGGAGCATAAAGCAAACTGGAGGATAAGGAAGTTGATGCCATTCTTTTCTTCTTAACCAAGAATCTAAAATCAGTGGGCCTCTATGTTAACAGTTCATATTTTTTTTTTTTGCAGACACAAAAAAAGGGATGGATAGAAGAATTTTTAAATCAAATGGGAAGTCAGACTTCTGATCATGTGTTACTACCAAAGTGGCACAAAGGTATTTTTTTATTTTAAAGGAAAAAAAGAAACAGTAACAACAACGAAGACAAAAGCAAAACAACACAAAAGCAATAAAAAGGATACACAATTTCAAAACAAGATGATAGGAATTAACAATGGTTGTTACACTATATACTGTTTTCTTCAACAAAGTTGCTCAGATTACCAGATGTAAGAATGCAAAATTGATCAAACAACTAAAGACAATGAAAAGTAATTTTAAAAAATTAGAAATGATACAGAGCTTCACCTAAACAACATGGTAGGAATTCAACAATAGTTGTTATATTGCATATTGTTGTTGTCAAATTAGTTGTTCAGATTACCAGATATAAGCATGCAAAACTGGTCAAGAAAAAAAATTTAAGCATTAACTGTTCCTTTCAATAAACCAATGGACATATTTTATATGGAAGAAAGCATGTTAAAATCCACAGAGTCAAGTTAGGCATGGTGGCACATGCCTGTAATCTCAGCACTCAGATCATGGCAGGAAGATGATGCTGAGTTCATGGCCAGCCTGGGCTATACAACAAGCTCCAAGTCATTCTCAACTACATACTAAGACCCCATCTCAAAAAATGAAAGAAACAGAAAAGTAGAGAAAAATAAGGAAAACATCCACAGTCATAATTTTATCTAAAAATCTTCATAAATTTATATTCTACCTTATAAATTTTGATAGAAGCATTGCAATCTGCTTTATTACTGATTATACCAGCTTTGCCTCAAAGAATTGTTCTGACAGCTGAACAATATGAATTTTCAGTTTACTCTTCTCTTATATAGGAAAACATAAATTAGTTCACAAAAAAGCTAGTAGGTTAATATTGCCAAGAGTAACAGAAAAAGAAAGCTTATTAATTAAGCTGTTATTGTCAAAAAGTACCAGTTTTAGTTAGAAAGCAAAGGAGATAAGTTTCAAGTAACTTTTTTTATAATATTAGTGGACAACAGACATAAAATTTTATAACCACCAGCTATGACTGTGTTCTTGTCTAAGAGAGATCTGGAAATGTTAACTAAGACCTTTCTCTTGAACAATCTTACAGAACTTTAGAGAACAAGCAAGGAAAAGAAATGCTATAAACATAAATATTATGTTACTATATGCCTTGGACTACAGTGCTAAAATAAACTGGTATAGAAGACCAAGAGCTCCAAAAAAAAAAAAGGCCAAGAGCATATACAGAAATCCCTCTTAATATTTTCTTTCATTAAAAAAAGAGACATCTAAGTTGATTTTAGAATCTACAATCTTACAGTTTCCAATAAAGTTCTTTTTTGGATTTTTTGGGGTTTTGTTTGTTTTGTTTTTCTTTTTAAAGACAAGAGCACACTATGTAGTTTAGATTAGCCTTAAATTATGTAAACCAGGCTGGCCTCTGGGCTCACTTATGGGGATCCTCCTGCTTCAGCCTCCCAAGGCTGGGATTACAAATATGTAACACCACTCCCAGCTAAATAAGTATCTTTAGACCTAGACCATGTTTAAACATTCCTTTATGTTTTCCTATATTAACAAAGAGATCTTCTTTATAGAATTTCTGGGTTATTTTTCCTAAACATCATGCTTAAGGTTACACGGTACTCCAATATGTGTATAGGATAAGCACAATTTAAAATAATCCAGTTATACGTTTGAGTTTTTAAATAATTTTATCAAAATAATAATGGACAGTCTTAGTGATCAATTATTATTTCTATAGAATAAATTCCTTAAATAAAAATGCTGGATCTATTTTCAAAGTCTTTAATATATACTAACTACCTTTCAAAAGAGCAATACTGACATACTTATCTTGATAGCTGATGGGTGCTATAGCGTTACGTTTTTACCCATGTTCAGTAATATTTATTTCAATCTCACTAACTTATTATATTTAATTGTCCAGTAATTTTGTATTTATATTCCACATAAAGTTACTTTCATTACTCAAATTATCCCACTATGAAATCTATGTGAACCAGAAGTTACAAAGCTACCCTCAGCACAGCTTTACTAATGAGAAGCACAGGACCTGTCTTGTATCAAGATCTGTGCTCTCCAAGCTAGCCTGCTTTAATGGTAAAGAGTTTCTGGTTGGGGAGGGGCTTACACAAGCCAGCAAAAATCAGCTCAAAAGCAGACCATCCAGTTCTGAAGCCCACACAAGGGAGTGACAGGGGGCAGGGCCGTGGTACATTTCACCCACTTTATATCCTGCCCAGACTCCTCTGGTCATCTACACCCCCAAAAAAACTAAAAAAGGAAATAACATTTTTCTACTGTATATGCAGGCTAAAAAATTAAGGAAAACTATCAACTAAGCATAAAACTAAGAATATGCTTAAAATGAAAATGATAAACATCACTAACCTTTCAAAAGTTACACACTGAATTATTAACCATAAATGTTCTGTATTGCAATCAAATACTTTACAACTTTCACCACTGATGGAGATTCAAGAGAGTAAACAGAAACCACAATTCCTAGCATCATTCCCAATTGTTCCTTAACACAGAAGGGAGGGAGACAGGCAGGCAGACAGACCTGCAACTCTTAAGACAAGCTGAATGCCCCAAATAGGACACTTTATAACTTCTCCAGCTGAGGGGACCCATAGATGCCAGCAGCTTTCGGGCAGTACGGTGCCTTACACTGGCTACAGGGCTCAAAAGGATTAAGTCATAAAATTTGGTGAAATCTTTTAACAAAAGTTCCATGATACACACCAACAACATCATGTTCAAAAATGTGGTCAATTTACTGATCTATCAGTCAACTCAACTCTTAAAATTATATTTTAAATTGAATAAATAAGCTTAATTTTAAAAGTCCTTTCTTTTACCAGAGGAGCCCAGTAGGTGTAGAGGTAGCCTATTTTCAATGCAGGTACAAACTGTGAGCAGGATACTACCAGAAAATAGAGATTCAGGAAAAACTTGAATTGTTCATATAAAACCTAAAAAAGAAAAGAGAAAATTAACACAATTCTTTCAAGTAAATATTTTAACGTTCAATTAAATAATTATATTCAGCAAAATATATAATGACATCTCCTTCAAACAGTCAAAAGGCTGATTCATGGTAACAAATTATTTTTAAGATAAACTAAAAAAAATTAAAAAGACAGTAAAGCCTTTCTACTATAATAAAAGTATCCATCCCTAAGAAGATCTGCTTCCTTGTATAAAATTTTTAGTTTTACACAACCTATAAATCTTAACATGTACATTAAGCAAATAATAGTATAACATTCCCAGTGTTAGCAAGTGTATGAATATACAAGTGTGTATTTTGATGCCAAGAAACTCTTACAATGGAAAAGTCTTATTAATCTTACATTTATAAAGTGGTAAAAATTTAAAAAGACAGCCATGCATTTTACCATGAGCATCCTGGCTTTACAAAGATTGAATGAACAAGCCAAACATGAACAGGTGTAACTATATAACATTTTATATTTGTTTCCCTCAAAACATGAAAAATGGGTAATATATAAAAATATGTAAATAACAGACCAATTTTCAAGAAGACAGAACCTATATATCATTCTTTGTGGCCTTTTCATAGTTGATATTTAACATTACTTTCACATATAAAATAAATTCCACCACAACAAAGTTTTAGGAATGAAAATACTGAATGTTTTTGTATTTTTAAATTTAAATGGAATTATCATTAAGTATGAAAACTCAAACTCTGGCATATTAATAGACTTCTATTTACAAATGCCTCAAATTATTAGATTTAAATTAAAAATTACAACAAACTTTATGTTTGTAGATGAGAATAATTCAAATAGCATTACAAGCCACTTGCAAATCTGCCACTTGCAAAACGAATCTTCCTGAATGCCATTTCTTATTCAAGGTGAAAGGTACAACAATTCCAAAAAGAGTAAAGCAATGGGTTAACTACATATTGTGGGCTTAAAGAGCCTAGAAGTACTTGTTGGTATATAATAAAGTTACCTACATCACCATACAGTTGTGTGTGTGACTAAAAAAATCAGTTACACTGGTAATACCTTTATATTTATAATCATGTTCAATTACTGTCTAAAACTATTTTGAGTTATTTCATAAATTAATCACAGCAGGAAAGAAAGCTCTCTTTTCCTCAGCAGTTTCTTTAAAATCTAAGTATAAATTATATCTATTAGCAATTCAGAAATTGCCATTTGTGCTAAAAATGGCATAGAATTCCTACTGTGCAATTATGGAAGGTTTCTAAAATACTACACTTTAGATGAAAAGACTTAATTTCACAGACAATCTAAAAACTCATGCACACAGTAACCACTATACAGACCCATCAACAGGTATTCTTAGGATACAGCCAATCTAGAAAGGCTGTATGAATTTACACTGATCAAAGTTAAACTGTACTATTTTTAAACCACTGTAACCAATACTTTACGGTCTACCATTAGTTTTGTTTGTTTTTTTTTTTTTTTTTTTTTGGTTTTTCTCCGGTACCGGGAACCGAACTCACGAC